TTCGCTTTCTTTGCCTACGCGGACAGCCGGCTGCTTGCATTTATTAGTTGACATCTCCTTCAACGGAGCCTTCCTTTGTTTTGACCAGTCCTTATCCATCCAGCCTCTACTCGAGGCCCGCAACTCCTCGAGACTCATCTCATATGTTGGATTCTCTGGATCAGGATAGACGGCGGCAAGATTGACAAAAACTCGTTCGACCTTTCCCGTCCGGGCATTGACTCTTTCTTTCTGGTTCTGTGTAGGATTTTCAGAGGTAATAGATTCAGAGTTATTTGATATTGAATTCTGAAGTACAACGAAAAAGGAAAACGCCAGAGGGGTTCCATGCCAGCAATTAGTCCTGTGACCGTAAATATGAGGATCATATGTAGAATCAGAATAGAATGTGCAGCTTACCGGATCCCTGAATACCGCCATCTTTTGTGTCGGGTTTGCTTTCTTTCCAGCTTTCAGTGTTTCACCAGCCCATGGTCGCGGTTCGATTATATTTTCCTTTTTCCTTTCCTGGATCGATCCAATGTTATCCCACCCCTTTGTCCGGCCCGTTACAGGGCTTTGTTCGGGAGCACCAGCTTCTGCGTCGTTAAAGATCGCCATTTTCTGCTTCCCACTCTTAGGTTTCGCCCCGCTTCCAACGCCTCCTCTAGCTCTTCTCGCTTCTTGTGGATTTTCTGTCGGCGGTCTTGCGGTCGCAAAAGGATCAACCTTGGCTACCAGCGCAGGCCGAACAGTAGGCAGGGCCGGCGACGACGGTTCATCCAAAGTTCTCGGCTGTTGTTCCATTCTCTTCTGAAAATCCCCAAACTTCCGCAATAACCTTTCCATTGGCCGCGCCTCTCGTTCCAAACCCATCTTGTACACCTCCTCCGCTTGAGCAAAACGTCCGGCGCCCTCAAGCCAGCCTGCAAACTCTTCGTAAAACAAAGCTAGACCTTGGCCAACCTCATGACGGGATAAAAACGCAAACGTTTCCCGTGGGGAATCTGAGAATAACCGTATGTAGTGCAGCCATAGGCGTAAATACCGCGGGTCGTTCTTATAATGACTTGACGAAAGAAATGCCCTCGTAGCTCGCTCCAGTAACGGGAGCAAGCCAGATTTTGTGGTCGCTTGTGCCGATGGGTAAGCGTCAAGGGTCCATTTGACATATCGGTCGAACACGTCGAGGGGGTCATCCGATTCGTTGATGGTTTCGAGTTCTTTTTCGTACTCTTTTCGCACCGCGTCGTTTACGGATTGTGTATCATCGAGGCTGGGTGATGAGTACTTGCCACTGAGGGGAGAGAATGCCGCTACCAAGGCCTTTGCTGATCTGCCGCTGGGCAAGGACTGGATATTCTCCTTTTGTGTCTCGATCAAGTCGAAATTGATCAAGTCCCCGGAGCCCGCCATGGTATAATTCGAAAAGAAGAAGAAAAAGCAGAGCACAAACCTATCCTGCTCCTAAAAAACTAGTATGAGTAGACAGGGAACTCCAGTGCTTCAAATGGGTATCACGGTTGCGGAGAATGACGAGCGTCGCGATAAAACTTGTTGTTGGGGATTGTTGACCTCTGAGGACGTTGCCATGGAAACGCCTGTCTTGGCGCTTGCTTGGCGCTGAGTATCAGAACGACCACTCGGTCTATGAGATACCAAGCAAAGCAACTACTTGGATAAAGGAGCTCGATGTTCGCCCGTGGCTTCCAATCCGATCCAGATTTGGTCGACCACGAGCAACGATCGTTCGTTCGAAAGATAGGGCGATTTGTAATGCAAGAGATCTCTACATCATAGTTTCATATAGCCGCTGGTTACCCTAATGCATTTGAGTCAATGGTACCAATTATAAGATCTACTCATCCCCTTACGGATTACTACATTCATGCACACTTGAAAAGCTAGTCAGTAGAAGTAATATATCAATTCATCCCTCATATGATAACAAGTTCCTCATCAAAACATCATCAGCCATTTTGGCTATAAGAAAAAAAAAAAGGACAAAGAAGAAAGATTGTCACAAAAATCGACAAAAAGAAAAAGCTTGATAGCGGATAAAGAGTAAATAAAGGGGGTAAAACACCAAAGGGTAGTCTTCGATCAGAATCAAGCGCGTATTCTATGGCTTTTGTGTTTTCTGTCAAAAAAAGAAAAAGGTGGTAGAAAGGCAAAAAGAAACAACAACAGTCATCTCATCAGTCGTATCAGTCATAAGAGGAACTAAAATAGTCAGACCAAAAAAGAAAAAAGAATACGTAGTAAGGTAACAAAAGGGCAATCAAGAGTAATAATGTTGATATCCAGTGGATTAGGTACTGTACTGTGCTCCATAGAATGCCTAGGATTGCTTTTCTGGGACCTGAGTTGGGGGAGGAAGTTAAGAAATGGTGAAAAGAATGGATAAGAGTGAAAGAAATGAGAGTGTGTCTGTTAGGGAATGTCAGAGTGTTCGGTTGGACAAGGAACAAAGAGCAAATGGTTTTGTATGGCCGCTCTTGAGGTTAACCGTTGATTCAAGGTTAGGTCGAGCCAATAGTATATTGAGCTCTTCAAAATGCTTGCCTCAAGAGTTTGTTATGGTATCAAGGAGTAGCGGAGTAAAGTCTGGTAAAAAATTTTAATCAGGCGCAACGGACAACTAGTGTGTGCCGTTCGAGGTAACTCACTGCGCCGAAATAGTGCGTTGCATCGTCATTCGTTGAATAGCTACTGGAGGTCGATTTCATGCTCCTCGTCGTGTATGGGTTCATCTTGATCGATAAACGAAATGGTAAAGAA